CTGCAAAGCTTCTTCCGCACTTCAGTTTGTTACACTTCTAAAAGCAAAAGATATAGAAGGAGGGTTTTTTTTTTTAACACCTGGCACTTCCCCCAAATAAAAGTATGGGCTGTATAGATTGGAGAAAGGTGCAATTTTTTTGGATGTTGCCTTACTTACGTCTTAGGCAAAATGCATCCCCATCATGGTCCCAAGTAAAAAATACAAAATAGAGTATGAGGCCACAACCCAGCTCCCTTGAAGCCAATAAAAGCCCTTGCACTGACTTCAGTGCCAGCTGGAGCAAATCCAGAATGTGGAATTATCTTTAAAGTGGACTTGTTTGAGGTGCTGGCCTCACAGCATTTGAGCCAGGAGTCATGTCAAGTTTTGAGTCTGATATCCAATACTTATCAGGGATAGAAATTAGTGTGTTATACTATAAGAAAGTCAAAAAATTCAGCGAGGTATTTGGATACTTTTACTCCATGTGGAGTAGGACTTTACACTGCAAATCCTGCTGGGTCTACATAAGAAGCAACGGTAAGATCAGAAGAGCTATGGGAATCGGTAGAGGTTGTCCTGTTCTAATTTAGGTTATTGTTGTATCTTCATGCTGCTTCCTGCCTTGCGATAGACCCCCACATACCAGATCTTTATATAGCCATCTGTCTGTTGTTTTTGAATTGTTTTAGAAATATCTTAAGGGGATTGGTTAGATCTCCTTTTCTCTGAATCTTGTCTAGTGATGATTTCTGTAGGAGTCCATTTTTATGTGCCCAGGGATATGAAAAAAAAAGGACAAAAGACAAAATTTCAGAACACTTTCAAATTCAACTTTTTCTGAGGTGCCCTTTATACTCTAATGAAAGGTGACTATATCCAAGAACAGGGATTCAAGTCCCTTTGAAAATCTCAGCCATAGATCTTACAGGGGGGGGGAAGTGTTGGCCATGCAAAGCCATTCACTAGGCATAAGATCATGCTTTATGGGTCCTATAAAACCCAAGAACCTGAGGGCCACATGCTGACCCCTTCATATAGGCTTCAGGTTTAGAGCACCCCTGTAACATAGTTCATCCCATAAGACTCCTGTTGTGAGGCCTGTAAATCTAGTATGTTAAGGATAGCCAGGTGAACTTGGAAAGACTTTGGGGCTGGGACTATCTTTTTGATGCACAGCATCAGATCCAGCATCATCAGGTCATGGTCTATGATTAAGTAATGCTGTGATATAGCGCTACGTATATTAATAATAGCCAGCTGGCCCTGTCTCACTCCTCCTTTATTTCTTTCC